GAGGAAACAATTGCGACGATGAACAGTAACGAAAATCGATCGAGGAATCGATCGCTCAACCAGTTCGCGTCGCACTTCTCATCCGTGCAGCTTGCATCGCCCAATTCCGATCATTCTCGTTCAAGTGGAGATCGCTACAGTTGTAGAAGACCTGTTCATACTGGAAGAAAGGTTGAATTACCGCGGTTTAAGGGGGATGATGCGGGCAGTTGGATTGTTAAGATGGAAGAGTATTTCCGTCTCAAGGCTACTGCTGAAAAAAATAAGGTGGTAGTAGCGGAAGGTGCGATGGAGGAAAGAGCATTAGCCTGGTTTCCATGGTGGTATACTCAAACGACTGAAAAGAGTTGGAAGGCTCTGAAGGAAGCCATAAAGCTGCGTTTCCAACCTATACGCAGTCAGAGGACAGAGAACGAGAATCAGGAATCATCGACGAGAACTTCTATCAGTTCACAGAAGTCTTCGCCAACAACTTCCTTCAGTTCCAGATTATTGATAACTGCACAGGTTTTTTATAAATCGCGAGAAACTACTTCTTCTAGTTCTCAGGTGTCTTCTCGCAGTTCGCAATCAGTTGCATCATTTCCTCATAAGTATGTGAGTCAACGGCAAACTCTTGAGGAGATGAGTTCAAAGCGAGTCAGAGAAGACGCATCTAAGTTCAACGAGAGTGACAATGAATGCCAGGGACAATTATCGCCAACATCTGTCAGTTCGCAGGCTTCGGCAACCAATTTAATGAAGACGCAATCGAGATATGAACCTCCCAGTTCGCAGATTTCAACCCAATCAGAGTTTCATATGGCGCAAGTTTCATCGTACCTTAAGGAATCACCTGAGGATACATTCATCAAAAGTGATGAGGAACGTGAGGATAAAACTTCTGTGGTGATTCAGTCCATTACCATGGAATATGAATCTGCCCTTGTTAAAATGGTTGGTTCAAATACTTGGGAAAGCTCTACCAGGACTGTTTGTATAGAGGAGACTGAGGAAATAGAAGAGAATGAATCCAAGTCTGAGAATAAGGAGGACAAAATTGAAATGCAAAACCAAAATAATTTCTCTGCGGGGTTTGATAGTTTGAGTTATGATCAAGGTTATTATTCTGAACATCTGAAAGTTGCTGACAACTGTGCATTACCACCTACAACTGTGTTGCTGAAACCAGAGCAGGTTGTTTCTGGAGTTCCTAATAGTGAAGGTTTTAAGGTTGTTTCTACAGGGTTTGATAGTTTGGTGACCGATGCCAGCTCATTTTCAAAGCCTACTGTGCTTGAAGGGACAGTTGCTGAAGCCACAGAGGACCCATTTGCAAGAATTAAAGCAACGACACCATTAAGAAAGCTGTTTTCGATTGAACACAGCCCTCCAAGTGATAAGTTTCGTGAGCAGGCTACCTGGGCTTTAGGAAAGGTTTCTTGTGATGACCCAGGTTGTAGCGATCAAGGTCTTGGTCATGGTGCAATCCTACCATTGCTAGTTCCGTCAAATGAGCATTCAGAGCTTTTTATGTTGATAAATTCTACAGGGATTTTATCAAACTCATGGCGATGCAGGACACCAACTCCATTTACCCTTTTCAAAGGTGTATTGCCAGTTTATCAGCCATTCGTCCCTATGAAAGAAGAAGAAGTCTGGACTCAAGTTTGTTGGACAATACCTAATATCACTGCTGGGAGTAGAAATATTATAAATGCAATTATTGCGGCATCTATCAATATTCCCTTAGTACACCTCCTTCATAAAGAAGTTTACAGAAAGGAAGAAGCTGCAGGGGCTATATCTTGTTATGAAGAACCTGCAGGCTCTCATAATCAGAATATGTGCTTGATAAGTAACGGCTGCATTAAGATGCTCTCTGATCACTTGTTATGCCAAGATCCAAGAATTGTTACTGCATACCTTGAAGGGCTGGAGAACATTCTGAAAATAGGCAAAGGGGACAAAGAAGTTGGGTTGAATAGTGGGGTCAAGTTATGTGTGCAGATGGTTGACTCTTATGAAGGACTAGACAAGACTGCTAAATTCCAGATTCAAGACAACAATGAGCTCTATGAAAAGGCTGAGAAGACCGTAGAGAAATGCTGGTCTGAAGAAGGGAGGATTAAGGGTCAAGTGCTGAAGATAGGGATACAAAAATCAACAATATATTGGGAAGGAAGAGGCTCCAGGATGAAGAGGAAGTTCAAGATCAAGAAGATCAAGGCTGTGTCCTATCGCCCACCTTGAGGACAAGGTGGTTTTTCAAGGGGGGAGATATGATAGGGCCCTGGGCTGTAGAGAATAATGATAATAATAGTGATAGATTGATATTGAATAAGTTTGGTATTGTATAAATAAGTATTTTGGGCCATGTCATATAATATGGGCTGGCCCGTTAGAATAGAGTACTATAAGAGATAGAAGTACTATAAGAGATAGAAGGAAGGGAGGAAAGTGGTAGGCAGAATTTTAGACTTGGGCTGGGAATTCTGGGAGAGATAGGCTGCTCGAAGTGCCTAAACCTGTATCGTTTCATTCCTGTTCATCAACTACGTTCATAATAAACAACCATTTCCCTCCTTCGATCCTGGTATCTATCACATTCCTAGCACCACCAAAACACTTAGGGTCTGTTTAAATGAAGTGTTCACAAGTGTTAGTATTGGAATTGTTAATGAGTGTTTAGTTCAACACTTGTTCGGGAGAAAAGTTTTTAAAAAATAGAGGTGTTAATAAGTGTTTGAGTGTGTTGACCATAACCTTCATAACACTTGTATTTATCATTTTTGTAACACCCCAATTTGGGGTGTAATGAAGTGTTGGACAACTTGTGCCTTTCATATTTCAAAAATATATTGAACCTACGTACATTCTCCTTCTCCGGTTTATCTCTTTCCTTTCCTCCAATTTTTCATTCATCTTTTTGTATAGAAAATTCACATGTTAGTATATATTGCTCCTTCGATTTTAAATATTGTCTCTGCTCCAATCGACTTTGGCCGTTCAGTTCTCGACGGCATCAATGGACTTTGCCTGTTGAGTATGAGATGATGCAATATCGTGCCATACTGTTCAGTCTTATTACGATTTTTTATTCTTGTTCTTCATAGTGGCATCAGATTTGGAAATATTTGCATTGATTATAATATATAATAGAAAATCGTAAAATGATAAATTAGTTTTTGGATTAAGTGAACACCAAAAACACAGAGAACAACAAATGATAAATTAGTTTTTGGATCAAGAATCCTAAAATGGAATTGTATGTTTCTGCATGCGTGAATTGCTGATCTTCTCCAAGCATGCTATTCAGGAAATTTGGGTTTTGGACCATTATGTATTTGCAGAAATATATATATATATATATATATATATATATATATAATATTATTGGAACTTAATAATTTAAAGATTGTAGGGTTATTTTTGTCAATTTAAGTGAAAACACTTCCATTACTAACACTTCATTTTTTAACTCTCCCAAACAAGGTAAGTTTATGTTTTACACCTACATTTACCTTCCGTTACGGGTCCCTGCCAACCCTTACTAACACTTCCATTACTAACACCTTTCAACATCTTGATCTTCGAAGAACCAGCATCCATGCCATGACGAGAACTTGATACCATTGCTTTCCTCAAAATCATCACTTTGGTTTTCAGCATCTCATTTGCATTCTCAAATGCCATCTTGAGGCCTCAAGGCATTCAAGCCAATCCGACACGGGGTTGAGTCCTTCCTCAATAAGCGCTTGAATGAATATCTTCGCTATATCCTGAGTCCTGACTATCTTGGTCGCTAATAGACGATGTGCTATCACTAGCCATGTTCGGACACCAATTGTTACACATTAAATTTCGTTACTTTGAAATTTCACTTGCGCGGCCTATCTTAACACTTAGATAGTCAGCTTTACTCACAAACACGCTTACTTAGTGTTTAGGGACGTTTAGAACACTTAAGGAAATATTTAAGGAACACACACTTTACGGTCCAAGACCAACCTTGTATTACTAAGGATGTTTTTACTTGGACTGTAGTTTGCTGGTCTGATATGGTTTCTTTGTATTTTTATAACTACCAAGTCTGGTCTGGTCTGGTCTGATCTGGTCTGGGACGAATTACAGTCCAAGTAAAAACATCCTAACTCAAGAATACACAGGAATATACAAAGCCCAATGCCACACACTATCTTTTGTCTACAAAATTCATGGCATGGCATGGTCTATTTTTAGACTTGACCAAGTCTAGACTGTCTAGCAGTCACAAGCCAACTTCCTAGCCGTCTAGTCTAAAGGGACGTGGCTTTACAAAGGGTTGGCAATTATAGCCGTCAACTGCCAATGTCACCCATTCAGCCATGGCATCTGTTACTGTTAACCCAAAACCAGCTTTTCCATTCAGACATGAGTCATGCCTGCACCAAAGAGACTCACCCGTTCGAGTTTGCACCCACGCTGGCGCCCACACCAGGCCACCCGCGAGCCAACTCTTCCTTTTCTTAGTTTTTGTGATCAATCCTCGTTGCCTTATGCGCCGCTTGCCAAAATCCCACTTGTCAGCCGACCAACCAACACTTGATTCCACTGAACCGCCCTTGACCATGTCCAACCCATGATGAGCCATGTCAAGCGTTCCAAAACAAAGGCCATGCCATGCACCGTCAAGGCCAACTTGACATGCCTAATTGCATATGACCTGGCCTTGTCACAGGTATACGGATGTTTTCTTTTGGACTGTTTTCAGTCCTAGATCAGATCAGACTAGACTTAAACAGACTAAACCAGAGCAGGCTTAAACAAACCAAACCAGATTTCCGTAGTTATAAAATACACGGAGACCAGATATTTACCAGACCAGATCAAACCAACAAATTTTAGTCCAAAAGAAAACATCCTAACAGTAAGTAAAATCTCTTGATGTTTCATTAACTGTATATTTTGTATCTTTGAATAAGGAATATCTTTTGTTAATGCATGAATCATTCTAACTGATGTTATTTTTGTTTGTTCAGGCCACTTTCTTTTGACAAATCTTTTATTGGAAAAGATGAAACATACATCTCGTGAGAGCCAGAAAGAAGGGAGAATAGTCATTGTTTCTTCAGAGGCACATCGATATCCATACAAGGAAGGAATTCGGTTTGATAAAATTAATGACAAGGAAAGGTAAGTAACTAAGTATTCATAAACTACAAGCCATTATGTTCTAAAAGTTCTAATGCCTAGTGGCCTAGGTGGGGCCTAAGTGGGGCCTAAGTGGGGCCTAAAAGCTAAGTTATTTTGTTGGTGAGTACTCACTGCTCTGCCCTAAAACTTGCCGAGTTGTCTTCCTACTTGGTCTAATTCAAGAATCCACGTTATTATGCAAGTACTCGCTAATTTTAGCAACTTGGCGAGTCTGGTTACTCAGCAATTAGTTGGGTCTTAGTTAAAGTGGAATATTGAAGGTAAGATTCATCTTTATGAAATTAAAAAGAATTCAAGGACTTCAATTTAATAAATCACTATCAAGGTTTTAATAATTCATAAAACTGTAAGCATTGTGTTTGTCAACATGGAACATGATGGAGATAATGTTCTTGAACAAAACAATGATTAATTTAGGGCATAAAAAGTTAGGTTTAATTAAATGATCTGATACTCCTTAAGTACTGCATAACTTTGCTAGTTATTGTGAACATTTTTGTGGCTTTATGTATAACACTTGTAAGACTAACATTATTAGAATATTGTATCACATATATTTTTAAAATTTACTAATACAAGGTCCTAATTTGATTGAGCGCCAAGTAACAAATAATTTAACTACTTACATTAAAGTATATGCTTTTAAAATGAAATAGTGTCCCCTAAACTTTTTTTTAACACGTGCTTGTATTGTTTATAGTATTTACGTTAAATTGTATGTTGAATTGTTGATTTTAATATTTTATATTTTACTTGATAAATGTACATTGTGACTTGTGAAGATAAACTAAATACTGCTAAAAAACTCAGTAGTCGATGCTATTGTTGGTAACTTGGTATAGAACCTAAGCAGCATTTCTGTTTTTGGAATATGTTCCGTAACAACGGTGTATGATTTCAAGTGTTTTTATAATTAAATCACTTGAGCATTTGGCGACGCCTCTCAACAAAGTGTAAGTTGAGTGTTAGGGAAGTCCATCTACATGTGACATGCCATGTAATTAAAACGGAGCATTTGTTTTCTATTTGCTTCAGTTACAGTCCTTGGTATGCTTATGGACAATCAAAGCTTGCAAATGTATTGCATGCTAATGAACTTGACAGGCACCTTAAGGTAATATTACCACATTTTTATCTTTGTAACATTCTTTTATGATGTTTCAGTTTGATTTTCTGTGTTTGATAGTACTTTTCATGTAGTTTCCAGACATACAAATTTTATTTCCTAATACTAAATAAAATGTTAGCATGAAGTTATAAATAAGTTTAGTCGGCCTCCTTGTATGGATAAGACACACAAAATGAAGCAAAGAGTTACTAATACTAAATAAAATGTTAGCATAAATGAAGTTATAAATAAGTTTAGTCGGCCTCCTTGTATGGATAAGACACACAAAATGAAGCAAAGAGTGACATATATCTTTGAATGTTGTGTTGCCTGGAGAACATTACTTTTCTCATTAATGAGCACATAATATTATGTGTGTATAAACATATTCTATCTGTCCAAAAAAAGAAAGTCGTAGTATTTTAGTAAAGCCATGACTTTTTTCAGGACAAAGTTGATTACATTATAGCCACATACTATCTATATCTTTTCATGCAGGAAGAAAGGGTGGAGATTACTGCTAATTCACTTCATCCAGGAGCAATCACCACAAACCTTTTTCGCCATCTCAGTTTCATCCATGGTAAAACTTTCAATTTCTGAAAGATGTATCTTAGTGATCCATGATGGTCATGCTCCATGAATTCATGTTGAGTATTAATTATCAAATCTTGTAATTAAAGATGACTCCAATAATGTGATATAGCATCTCAGATTCTCAGTGAAGTTTTGCCACTACTCGCTATGCATCTCCGCATTCACATTAATATATAATACTAATGTAATAGAGCATCGGAGTGAAACGGTTCTCAATATGTGAGAATTGCCCAACGTTGTTTCTTAATCTATATATAGTTAGACAATGTGATATACTGCCCTTAATAATGAGCTTGTCATCATCTCGTCCGCCGCTTCCATTGCCTTCGCCGCAGGTTCGTTCCCCCTCCTCCTCTTCTACTTCTTCTGCCCGATCCTCAAATGTGCGATGGAGATTGAGGTGCGCGCTAGTTAGGGTTTGGTGACTGAGGATGAAGACTCGGTTATGGGCCTATGGCGTCTATGGTTCGTCTAGAGTGTGAGATTCGACAGCAGTGCCAAGGGTTGGTTGAGTGGCATGGCGAATTCGAGCGGCAAGCCGAAAACTTAACAATGCCGGCTAGGGTTAGAGGAAGCAGGTGGCTGCAGTGCGACTACCGCTAATGGTTAACATCTTGGCGGTTTTGTGTGGCGTCAATGGGTTGCTAGGTACTGTCAGGCTGGGTGAGGCTAGGGGCGGGTGTGGCAAAGGGCAGCACTAGGGGCTGGTGGGGTAGGGGATGGGACTGGTATAGGAGGGGCGGCGAGGGGTTGGGGCAGTTTTACAGGGGTGGCTGACAACTGGACGGGGCAACGACGGTGGTCAGTTGTCACCGAAAGGGACAGGGTGGCAGTCACTAGACGGGGTGGGCGGTGGTGCGGCGGTGGTTTGGTGATTGTAAGTTGTAACTATAAGTGGCTGGTGGAGGTTACTGGTGTGGTTGTAACTGTCACTGGCTGAAGGCGATCTCTATCACCGCTGGTTACGTTTGGTGGTCAGTGGAGGTGGTGATGGTGTGGGGGTGTGACCTACTGGTGACCGTTGGGTTGCAATAGTCAGAAGGGTAAAAATATGAGAATAGTCACATTTTTTGGAATTTTTAAACTTCGTTCTATTTTTGTCCATGACTTTTAGGATGATTTTAATTGAATTGGTTTCAATTCCATATTAGACTAGACCATACATGACTAGACTTCGACAGTTGTAAAATACACATTAAATAGATGTGTATCAGTTTAGACTGGACCAAGCCAGACTTAAATAGATCAGACCAGAAAATTATAGTCCATTAAAAACATCCGTTCAGTATTATTTATGTCAAAACCTCAAAAGTTTTAAACTACAAGAAGATTCATTTATGACTTGGTAAGAATTGTATGCCAAAAGTAAGGACATGTTGACTTAGACTTATTTCTGCTACAATTTGACCGACCAGAATACTCCTAAACAGAATAGATTATACTAGAACAGACTAGACGAAATTTAATAAAACACAAACATACAATGCCAAACAAATTTAAACAGACTAGATGAGTAACTTTTCGGTACAAGAGGTCTTTCAAAAAGTTGTTGCTCGACTCTTTCTATGTGACAGAGGCAGTAATACTTTACACTGAATTTCATATCATGTGTGCTAATGTACTATAGTTAGGATAAGTGGAGAAAGTTCCTTTGTGGTTAGATTGTAGAGGTATTCATCGTTTGATAGGACCTGAATGTACCATCGAGGAAACCTTGGATAGTACCTGCCTGGTTCCGCACCTCTTGAGGTTTTCAGTGAACGCCGAATGGTCTTTTAGTTTCAATGACTTCTGGGCACGGGTGCCATTCTTGTATCGATTCAATAGACTTATTTCAAAGTACTTAAACCCAAGTGCGTAACTTTTTCATATGGGAGCGTAGACATTTGGCATTTCATAGACTGAACTACTGATTTTATGGGTCTGATTTTATCTTCTCATAGGTGCTGTCAAATTCATAGGCAAATACGTGCTCAAAAATATTCCACAGGTACTTCCTTTTCATTCTATTGTTCGACAAAGTATGTTTTCTGATAGCATCTGACTTGATGAGGCAAGTATAACCAATTATGCACCAGTACTTCCACTAGAGCACATATATACACATATATGTATATAATTACTATATATGCACTTACATAGTACATATGTGTGTGTATCTAGGGATCTGCAAGTATGGTTGTTCTCTTTTTAAAATGACTTCCTTCTGTGCTACGTAGGGAGCGGCGACTACGTGCTATGTGGCATTACACCCGCAAGTTAAGGGAGTAAGCGGTGAGTACTTCTCAGACAGTAACATAGCCAAACAGAGCTCTCACGCTAAGGACTCTGGTTTGGCCAAGAAGCTATGGGTGTTCAGTTTGAATTTGATAAGCTCCTAATAATGATGTGTTGAGCTCTTGAGTTGAACAAAATGAACTCAATGATGGTACAGTATATGGAATTGCAGAGTTTAAAAGGTGGTTCACTTTTTTTATATGTTTTATTATATTGCCATTAAGAATAATATTTACAATTTGAGCACTACTATATAAAATACTTATTTGGTTGGATAATGTCGAGGGCTGTAGTCGTGAGCAAAAAAATTGTGGTGGGTCAATACAAAGATTTTTCCAGAAAAAGCTTTATAATTAAAATACAAACTTTTTTCAAATTTCAGGTGGTCTGGAGCTCGGTTAAGCCCTCTTCCTCCGCCCATGATAATGTCATGTATACAAAAGCTTAGTTTTCCCTAAAATAAATACGAACTTGAACTTCGACATGTCATGATAATGGTAGTGTTTTATTACGTAGTATTATTTTTTGTTAGTCTCCTGTCAATTAATATCTTGTTTAATAAACTCAACTTGCTCAATTGGGGTTGCTGAGGGGTTTCTGGTTCAAAATGATTTATAGAACTTGTTTTAGTTTAAGTCATTCAATTTTAGTAGCCGTATGCAAGTGTTAGGCTGTGTTTGCAACAGTTTCTCAGAAGCACTTTTCTTCTTATTTGCTAGAAAAGCCAAAACTTGTGTTTGCAAAAGGGAGCTTCTACTTATTTTTAATCAAATTTACGTGAAAAGCCAGAAGCAGCATTTGGGTTTCTTTTATCTGATTCTTGGTGATCTGGTAATAGTAGCAACTTGGGGGAAGATTATATTTATAATCAAGTGTTTATTCCGTAAATGTCCATATCTTCTCCCTGTATCTGTGCCGCCCTACACGTCTTCCCCAACCTTAGCTATTCATTCAAACAACTCAGGGTTTTAATAGCAGAGGAATCTTTCAATTCTTTAATTTATCCACTCAAGCATGAGCACATTAATCTACAAATTAGTTCCAACATGTAACATAATTTATATATATACTCCCTTTGTATTTATATGTTCCCTACATTTGCTTTTGGCACAATATTTTAGGATATAATAGTAACGGTAGTGAATAGTGTAGAAAAAGTATGAGACCGTGTGTAAAAGTATGAAAGAGAAGATAAAAAGTAGATAAAGTAAAAGTGTAGGGAACTTTTAAATACATCCCAAAATGGAAAGTGTAAAGAACTTTCAATTAGGGAGTGACCGAGTGAGTATAATAACAAAATAGTGGGAGCAGAGTTTGGGTGGGAAGACTAGCTAACATTTTTTTGCTTTTCGTATTCCGTTGGCGGTTTCATTAATTGTGTGTGTTGGTGGCCAATTGCTGTATAAAGTATTGTTGTGTGTAAATAATGACAAGTTGGCCGCATTACTGAACGGTAATTAAAGTTGTGAACCTTTAGTTTTGGTCTTAACTCTTAACTCTTAACATGACAATGACAAGTTTCATATAGAGGTGTTTTTTTCTTTCAAAAAAGACGTTTCCGCTTTTACCACACCATTGTACCCCATTAAAGATTTAAAGAGATTTTTTCAATGCAATACATTAAAAACGACACAAAATGTGGCTTTTCGAATTCCAATGCTTCATTTTAATTGATTAAGAAGCTTTTCTTATTTTTATTATCAGAATCATTCAGATTAGAAAGATTCAGAGCAGATCAGAAGCATTCAGATCAGATCAGATCAGAAAATTTTAAACATGATTTATCACTTTTATTATTATAAAATAATAATAATAATAACAATAATAATTGTTATTATTATTATTATTACTATTATTGTCGCTATTATTATTATTATTATTATTATTATTATTATTATTATTATTATTATTATTATTATTATTATTATTATTATTATTATTATTATTATTATTATTATTATTATTATTATTATTATTATTATTATTATTATTATTATTATTATTATTATTATTATTATTATTATTATTATTATTATTATTATTATTATTATTATTATTATTATTATTATTATTATTATTATTATTATTATTATTATTATTATTATTATTATTATTATTATTATTATTATTATTATTATTATTATTATTATTATTATTATTATTATTATTATTATTATTATTATTATTATTATTATTATTATTATTATTATTATTATTATTATTATTATTATTATTATTATTATTATTATTATTATTTTGTTGATGTTATTATTGTTGTTATTACTTTTATTATTGCTATTATTATTATTATTTTTATTATTACTATTATCATTACTATTATTACAATTTTTACTATTATAATTATTATTTTTATTAGTTTTATTATTATTACTCCATATTATTATAAATATGATTATTATTATTTTTATTATTGTTATTATTACTATTATCATTACTATTATTACTATTTTTACTATTATAATTATTATTTTTATTAGCTTTATTATTATTATTATTACTCCATATTATTATAATATTATTATTATTATTATTATTATTATTATTATTATTATTATTATTATTATTATTATTATTATCATTATAAATATTATTATTACTCTTACTCTTACTCTTACTATTACTATTACTATTACTATTACTATTATACAGAGTAATTATAACTTGAATTACAATTATAATTATAATTATTATTATAGAAATAAATATTATAATTACAATTATAATTATAGCTATAATTATAATTAGGGGTAGTAGTAGGTATAACTTTTTATAACTTTAATTATAATTATAATTATAATTATAATTGTAATTATAATTATAATTCTTTAAAATAATTATAATTAGGGGTAGTAGTAGGTATAATTTTTTATAACTTTAATTATAATTATAATTATAATTGTAATTATAATTATAATTATAATTGTAATTATAATTGTAATTCTTTAGAATTATGACTATAATTATAATATTATTCAAATTATAATTATAATTATAATTAAAGAAATATTCAAATCAGATCAGATCAGAAAGATTCAGATCAAATCAGACCAGATCAGAAAGATTCAGATCAGATCATACCAGATCAGAAAAATTTTGATCAGATCAAATCAGAAAAATTCAGATCAGTTCAGATCAGAACTTAATAAATTTAGATTAGAAACATTCAGATCAGACAAAGAGAACATCTTCTAATATTTTTATTTGGAAGCAGGAAGTACACCTCTCCGTCTTTGAATGGTATTTCAGTAAACACGTATTTTCTGATATATTGCACTTTGTACTTTTTTTATAGGGAAAACTGTCAAATGAGTCCACATGCTATATTGAAACAGTCAATTGAATCAATATAGGGAAAAGTGTCAAATAGGCCCCCCTACTAATATGGAAAGTCAATTAAACCCCTGAACTAAATATAACAAGGCAAAACAGTCCTTTTAGCAGGATATTAAGCGGTTAAAAAGAGATAAGGTAAAAAGGAAAGAAAGAGAAAAAGAGAATGTAAAACATGTCACATCATTAGCCACACATGCAACTTAACCGGGAACGGTTAATATCCTGCCAAAAGGACGGTTTTGCCTCATTATATTTAGTTCGGGGGTTTAATTGAATGTTTTTTTTAGTTCGGAGGCTTAATTGACTTTTTCGTATTAGTAGGTGGATCTATTTGACACTTTTCCCAATCCATATACTATTTTATCAATCAAATGGGTATACAAAGTCTCAAATTTTAATCAAATTTGCCATTTGATAGGTTAACAACTGGTGACCCGTTTTTTTGTTCATGTGTGTAGGTCACATAGGCTTTTTTTTAATACTTTTTCCTTTTTTCATTGTTCTCCCCCCCCCCCCCCCCCCCCCCCTCAGCCGACGCCTGCAACACCCCCTCCCCTAAGGTTTAACGTTTTATCACTTACACCCCTATAGTTTTAAAAATATGCAACAACCTCCCCATATTATTTGAGAGCGTTAACTTCTAACGGAAGAGTGTAACCTCAAACACCAAAGCTAGCATGCTAAATTAAAAACCATCCAAATGTTAAAATGATAAATTAGAAACCCCAGCACACATGTTTTGAATATACAAAAGCTAGTTAGAGTATCACTCTAAATAATACCCAAAAACAAAATAGACAAACTATGATCGATAATGTAAATGTGCAGTACATAGGTTCACAAGGTTGATCATATACCCATCTACTTTTTAACTCTTTTTCCTCTAGTAACACTACTTGATGCTACACTCATTTGTGATTGTTTACTTGCTTCAGGTTTTGAAGCTGCGGATGGTCTTCTCTTTTTTTTTTTTTACCCTATCAAGAAAAAAAATTGTAAATACAATGTGAGGTTAAAGAGTTATTAATAGTTTAGTGCTAGTAACAAATTAACTAAGGCATAATTAAAACGACAAACTACCGTCCAGAACATACTTTATTGAGAATAAAAACATAAACACATTATTCGTTTTTGTATTTCATAAAATTTGATATGACTTAAAAATCAGAAGTTAATTAATATGTAGTACTTACTAGCAAAAAACATATTAGACTGTTAGTTATTCACCAATATACTACCTGGTCCAGTGTTTTAAATAGCGGTCCGCTACCACTATAGCGGCCGCTATATAGCGGTCGCGGTAGGCACCGCTACCGCTACAGGTGGCTATCAGGGTGTGATTTTCAAATCACAGAAAAAATCCGCTACCGGCCGCTACCGGCACTTCCGGCAGTACATCACGGGCGGACTGGTTGACGTGCAAATGTGTAAAAGTTGTGTGCATGATGTGAAAAAATACATTAATGGTGATGAATGGAGTGAAACTCTAAATTAAATGTACATGTATGATGTATCAACATACATTATGGTAGCAAATATTAATACATATGTAAATTTTAATTATTAAAACCGAATTAATTATTAATAAGAATGATTTAACTTTAAGATCAGTTGACGAAAAAAATGTTGACTTAACAAAACAATTTGGAACGGAAGTGGTATTATTATGGATTATGCATATTCTATTATTCTTATTGATTGATTAGTTGTTAATGTTATAAGTGTTCAAACAAATATGCATAATGTTTCTATTAACTTTAACACCTACCCATTAAATATATGTTTTTCAAATTTGAAAATATTTAACGCCGCTGCAACCGCTACAAGCGGCTACAGTCCGCTATAGGCCGCTACCGAGATGACTGCTACGGCTATTTAATTCACTGACCTGGCCTATAAACATAGGCAATTCAATACTATAGTTACTCTCTGTTTTATGTGTCACTCTTTTTTTACTAACCTATTCATCTTTCATGAACTAACTCAAAAATCTAGAATACGATGTCAAATATGACTACTAATTCCTCATCATCAAAAATAACAAAAGGAATCATTCTCAATCAAAAAAACTGAAAAAGAAAAGACAAATGGCCTCTCAAATGTCTCAAATACCTCTAGGTTAGAGATAATGAGCATGGGTGAGTGAGGGTTTGTGGAAGTTTTGTTTTTACGGTACAAGGGTTTCTGAAAGTTGCATATTCAATTATGTATGCAAGTTAAATTACTACCCTTGCCGTTAAAATTGACAGTGTCAATCATAGAGGGAGGTTTTTGCATATTGTTAATACTATAGGGGTGTAATTGATAAAACGGTAAACCTCAGGGAGGAGGGTGATAATTTCCCTTCTTTTTTCCACTTTTCTTCTCCAATCTCCCTGCAACCCCTCTCCCCTATCCTTCAACCTCTTCTTCTCCACTGCTTTTACCCCACGCCCCCACCCGATTCAACATTTCAACCTCCCCCTCTATTCTTGCAATCTTGCCCACCGCCTTCTCCTTTCCCTTTTCTTTCTTTTTCCTCTTCCTTTTTCTCTTCTCCAATCCACTTCTTCTACTCCACTCAACCTTCTGTCCCCTTTTTCCATGGCCGGAGAAGGCAAACCGACTCAAACCCGAGGAAAACCCTAGATCTTCTTCAATGGCAACCAGACGGCGACAGAGAAGGTGGCGGCAGATCTCGACGCCGATGGTGATGCCGGCGGCAGATCTCGACGCCAATGGTGACGGCAGCGGCAGAG